CCTATGAAAGAATTTACTGTTTTCATCCCCTTCGTTTAACCACCTAATTTTACTTTTCTAAGGAAGAATTTGTTCCTCACCTATATAATATCAAGCAGATTCTGTTTCAAGGAGCATCGATTCCCAATTTCCTCAGCCGATTAGCCCGAAGCTTCTTCCTTTCCATCAAGCAACGGAATTTCCTTCGATGAGAAGGCCAGCCCATTCCTCCACCCCTGGTTCAGTGAAGTTCCTTATGAATTTGAAATCCCAGCCAAGATCAAAAGCCCTTTGGAGTTCACCACAGAATACAGCCTTGGAAAAGAAGATGTAAGAGGAGTGTTCTCAAGCCATTGGTCTTTCCAAAAAAGAATTTTGTCCCCTCTGCCCACTTCACATTTATACCACTTCTCAGCCTCTTTACAACACCCAAATGTGTTTTTCCTTTTTTTAAAAATGGTACTCCTGGCTTCCTATTAGCATTAGATGAAACAAAAACTTGAAATACCAAAGAGAGAGAAATTTCACCCAAAACACTTACTTAAAAACAATCCATTAAATTTTCACAAACATCAATGAAAATTTTAATTTCTTTGTTTAAAAAGTAACTTCTTTATATTGCTTTAATTTTAAAAACTGTTTGTAAAAGAACTTTAATTTAGTGCTTTCATTCATTTCTTTAATGTATTAATTTAAAATGTAACACATTTAGACCAAGTTTTACTTTTAGGAAAATAATGGATGATTTTAGGTAAATAATGAACTTAAAAAACACTAAAAGAACATATAAAAATAGCAAATTACGGTTCAATTTGGAAAAATAAATATTTTTAAAAATCATTCTGCCAAACAACCTTTTTTCATTAAAAACTGTTTTTATTTTTAAAAACAGAAAACTATTTCTTAACACCACCTCCAAATAGCCTGAAAATATTTTAGCAGAACGCTCATTTGACCGGATTGCGAAGGATCAACATTATATATATAAGTTCCGACTCGGCAGTTACAAGGCAAAACAAACTGCATGTCCCTGAAGGAGGGTGCATATACTAACCGACTAAGAAAAGATCATGAAAGCAAAATAAAGAAATCTTCATTCTTAATTTCTTTCTGAACTTTTCATGTTGGGATTTAAAAGAGGTATATGATTGTAATAGTTGATTTTATCTAACTATAAAGTATTGAGTAAGGGAAACTACACAGACTGTAATGTATTTTAATTAGTCTATGATTCTGCCTTGGTATTCATTCTATTGATATGGTTTGACTTGACATTCTCTATAGAATTTTGAGTTATATTGCTTGGTATTTTCCATACCAGTTGCTTTCATGGTGGAGAGTATATAACCATCTCTAGAGTTGTTGGCCTTTGTTTTACTGGACAAGCAAAGGTGGAAACTTTGATTGTACATTTGGCACTTGTATTTTGTCAAGTATATAGTTCTGGAAGAACAATATGTATTTTGTCGATTTGGTGTCCCATATGCCATCATCTTAGATGATGGAAAACAGTTTGACAATGCCAACTTTCGGAATTTTTGTGAGCAACTTAGCATCCGCCATCTTCGCTCTTCGCCGGCTCACCCACAGTCCAACGGACAGGTGGAAGCTGTAAACAAAATCATCAAGCAACATTTGAAAGCCCACCTGGAATCGTTAAAAGAAGCATGGACGAAAGAACTACCCAACATGTTGTGGGCCTACCGGACGACAGCAAAGACTGCGACAGGGGAAACTCCTTTTTCTCTCGCTTTTGGGATTGAAGTTGTGATCCCCGTTGAAATAGGCCTCCCGTCATTGCGGGTAGTGGAATACAACCCAGCAACCAATGATGAACGTCTCAGGCTCCATCTTGATCTAATAGAAGAATTACGGGAAGTATCCCGACAACGGATTCAAACCCGTCAACAACAAATCTCTCAATGTTACAATATAAATGTTCGGCCAAGAGCGTTTGAAGAAGGAGATTGGGTGCTACGACGAGTGGCACAAAACACTAAAGAAACCACAGATGGAGTATTAGGACCTAAACTAGGAAGGCCCATACAAAGTCGTTCGAGTTGCTCGACCAGGTACTTATTATCTAGAAAACTCTGAAGGCAAGCAATTGAAGCATCCATGGAACGTGGAGCATCTCAAGAAATATTATCCATAAAAATGTACATTGCTAAAGAAAAGTCTAAGTTATATTGTAAAAATACAAGCATAAAAGTTTTTAGTACATAAAACCACGAGTGTTTAAAACTAAAGAAAGCAGGCAAAATTATGATACTACTAGCCTTGTGACTCTTCCCTAGTTAACGGTACATCAAGTCGAGCCACTAAATCCCTCAAATGGATGGCTTCAAGGGCTAACATCAACAGGTGAAACCTCATCACCTACCAGAGGAGCCCGATTTCATCGTATCAGTAAGAATAGCTGCTATGCTACTGCTGGCATAATCTATCCCTGTCTCGCTAGTACCCAAGGCACATCCCGCGACAATCTCGGAAGGCCCAGGTGTACGAGGTCCACCTCACTCGGCACGAAGCAAAGTAGAAAGAAACCCAAAGTCTATATCAGAGAACCTCCCACTAACCTGGTCTTTGACCCAGTCCACGCTCAACTCCATAATCTCTCATTCAAGGGCGTCGTACGCTCCGATCTTTTGCATGGCCTCTTCCAGCCTCTTCGCATCGCCCAAGATAGCCTCAAACCGAACATGCTGAGCCTCGAACTGAGAACGTTCAACCTCTAACTTAGCTTTGTGTTCAGCCTCATGACGCTCAAGGGCTACCTTCATCTTGTTCATCTCGGCCTCTACTCGACTCTAATCAGAGCTCGCTTGCTCCACAGAAGTTTCTAACTCCGCTATTCGCAGCTCGAAGTGGCGTAAAAGAGCCTAAGCCTCTTTCGCAGCATCTGTCTTCTGCTTCCAAGCATAGGAGAGTTCGGTCCCCATGCGGTGAGTTGCCGAACTAATACGTGTGCCACCCTGGAAAAGAAAAGCAAGTAACAATGCATCAATAGGATTTAAATGGAAAGACACCCACAATACAGAAGTAAAACTAACCTTGAGTATATCAAAAAGGGCATGACAAGGTTCCCGATTAGGGTCCTCACCCCAAATACTTCAGGCAGTGTCAAAGTCTGCAGCCTATCATAGACACGTCGACCCTCCTTGTCAGCAACCCCTTGGGGGATGGGGGCTTGATAAAGGCTCGAAAAATTGAAAAATGGAAACAAAGTCTTTGGAGGAGAAGGAGAGCCTCCCCCAAGAGGAGCCCCGACAAATGGAGACCCGATCGGTGGAGTAACACCCCTCAGTCGGGTAGAAGCAAGTAATGGAGGACCCATCACAATAGGAGGTGGATCTGATGGCTCAGTCGAAGAAGAGGCTTCTGTCAAACGGCGTCGTTGGACAGACTCCGAAGCCATACTCGAAGAATCTCCTTGAACAGCTTTTATATTCTGCGCAAGAAGACGGTGGAGAGGATTCATCATTGCTCGACTAGTAGGTGGTTGGACGACAAGCAACGAAAGAGGAACATGTCGTTCAAAACCTAAAAAATAGAATGGAAACGACATAAGAATACAAAGATAAAGTACATAAAGACATAACCGAATACGAAGTTTCCTTACTAAAAAGAAGTTCCTTAGGTATTGTTGTATCACTATCGAAGTCACCAATAGACGCCGCGTTGATCCAATCGTCGTCCAGTTCATGCAAAGGAGAAGTCAATCGAGACAAGCCATACTTGCACAGATTGGATTCAGACAATAGGTCAACCTCTTTACCTACTAGAGATAACGATGTCTTGAGAAAAATGGCCCCATGGTCTGGTGGAGCACAAATAGAAACTAGAGAATCACACAAAAGTTAGAATCACAACATTAAAAATAGATGAAAATACCAGCCGAGCAGAAATGAAGTTAATAAGCAAACAAAGATGTCAGTTAAGCATGTAAAAAGGGGAAACAAAAACCACTGACTCGGTGTCCCGAACCTGGAAGGAACCATGTAATTACCCGCACTATTTGCGAGCCAATCCCCACTCACCCAAAACTAAGACTCTTTCCAATGTCTGTTGGAACTAGGGCAGGTAACCATTTGCCGAGAATGGTGTACGGATATCCTCGAAGGAACCTCTCATCGAGGTTCCCGCCCTTCTCAAATAATAAATACAAACATTTAATTGAATTAATCAACACTAAAATAGAGAGATAAGAAAAATCTGTACAGCAAAGTTCTCTCACGAATCCCTAACTTGCATGCTCAAACTCATAAAATTCAAAACCAAAACACTTTGCTTTCAATAGAAAACTATTTGCGAGAAACTCTATTGGAATCACTCTATATCCCCACTACCACCTCTGTTATGTAGTATTTGAAGAGACTAAAAATAAGTTGTTCTAATTTAGAACTTAACCAATTTTGTTAAATCACAATCCAGAAAGATCAAACCAATTTTCTAATAAAAGAGTAACTAATTAGTCAAACTTAGAAAATCTTTTAATTTTCCAATACTCAGGTCCTTGTGTTGGTATCCTTGTTTGATTTTTCTTGATGACCTATTTAATTATTCTTGTAAAGTACAATTATCATTATTTGTATATGATATATTATATTTTAGCAACAATTATTTTTTTAAAATTTGTTTAACAAATATATAACAAAGTTTTCTCTAATTAAAATAAATAATTTATACTTTTATTCCTCCTAAATTTATATTCTAAAACATAGTTTTTTTAAATAATTTTTTTAATAGAAAGGTACGAACTTCCAACCTGAGAAGAGGTAAGTGCCAGTTGCTCTAAATAATTTAAATCTATTAATAAACTATTTAAAACTATTGTGCAATAATAATAAATATAATATATTTTTTAATATTTTCTCCTTTAAATTTGATATTTTGAAAAATCAAATAAATATATGAATTTGTCAAAAAAAAAAAAATAGATGGATATATTTAATATTTATGGAAAAATCATAAAATCACTGCTGCTGTTCTTCCCTTCTTCCTCAGTCTCACCCGTCGCCGCTGCCACCGCCCGTTTGCAAATGTACTCCTTTGCTTGATATCGTCGCTGTTGTTGTCCTTAATCTCTCTCACAATAATTTTTTTAGGTTTGTTCTCAATTCACGAATTTTGGCCGTAATTCATGAAATTGTTGGTAAATAATTGAAAAGTAGGAAGTGATGGCTAGAAATTATAAGCATTTAGCTTGATTTTGAGATTACAATTTTGCCTTTCTCTTTCTCTTTCTCTCTCTCCCGCTTTGTTTTTAGAAGATGCTTCTGGTTGCTTGCTGGGAATTTCAATCTTCAAAATTTATGAAGATATCGGTGAATTAGGTACTACAAGGCCTTTGTGGAAAGCTAATTTTTGGAACTCGATTGCAAGGGCTTAACTACATCAACAAACATTAAAAAAATGATTGAATCTATGAGTTCACGAATGGGGATAAATTGTAAATTGCTGTAGAGTCACTCGAACAATTGGCAAAGCTCCTTGGGGCGGGCACGGGTGCCCCTGGGTATAGAGGAGCAAAGCTCCAACTCCCGGTTCTCAAAAAAAAAAAAGGATTTTAATCATAAATATGCGATAGAAAAGCAAAACTTTCTGCAAAGTGTTGGATCGTTCAATAACAAATGATAAGAGATACTGAGGGGAATATGAAAGAGAGGACAGAAATATGGTGTTCGAAATCAGATGGTCTTTAACATTATGAGATCATAAATGGTATTGAGTTGTTTTTACGTCAGTAGACATATTACATGGATGAATTTTCTACTAAGCCATTCTAAACAATACAACTTTTGAATCAATGAAAGTCTATTCATTTTCCCATTTGCTCTACTTAAGATGTGCAGTATTATTTGAATGCCAATCAAACTATATTACTAGTGTCGAAGATGAAAGAAAAAGCTCGAAAATAACCGTATCTTCCCATTGCACTATATGCTTTTTGTGAAGTTTCCTACTTTTTTTCTTTTGGGTATATTATCTCTCTTAAAATCATCTCCTCCAAACGATTGAAGTAAATTATTCATGAATTTTCCTTTATGAAATTCTTCTTATCATAAAAAAATCCTCTGTTTTTTTTTTATATTTATTTTTTCACAAAATTAATGTCTATTTCAGGAGATGATATCAGGAAGGGTTTTGATTGATGAAGGTTTGAGATAAGTGGTTGAGGTGGAGCAAACAAATTTGTGGAGATTTCTTTGGTGGTCATAGACCATTTCAGTGGTGCAACTGCAAAGAAAGTTGAACCTCCGAACCAGCGATGCAACTTCAACAAATGCACTGGTGCGATTTTTGAGCTTCGAGTTTACGAAATGATGACTAATTGATTCTGGATTTCACGTATTCAACTGAAACATAAGGTTAGTACTAGTAGTATTTCAAATTATTCTAACTTCTTAATCCTTATAGCCAAAAGGATGAAGAACATTTTATTTTCTTTGTAGTTTATTTGGCTTTATAATTGAATTGGTATGCCTCAAATTTTTGTTCCATTTTAACGCTTTTTCCATTGGTGATTTCCCCTTAGGTTGGTACATTCAAAACAATGGTGGATACTTTAGCTTGGGATGGAACTATCTCATCAAGTGATTTTTACAAGGCTGCTTCTGCTTTTCTTCGGAGATGGAAATTGATCAACTCTAATTTTCCTTCATGGTCATGGGTTCCAAGTCAGAAACTACAATGGATTAGTTCTGATAAGGTTAAGTTTCTTCTTCTTTAGGTTAAGATACCACTGGTTCACTTTATGGAGAGTTGAAGGTATCATTGATTCTCATAATCTCAACATATATGCCTTTTTTGTAGGTGGAAGGATACCTATCTTTGGAGAAAATATGCCTTCTGAGGCCACTCGAGGTTTGCTTCTTCCATTTTAATGGCCCTTCTTTTTCCCTTTAGCAATATGCCAATTCCATCGTTCCTCATTGTTTCCTTTATTATTTTTTCTATGGAATGAACAGGAGAAAGGAGAGTGTTCTGAGGAAAGAGAGACTGCTGGGTACAACAATGAGTTTCTCGATGAAGCTACGTTAGTATGTGCATTGCATTCTAGAATTGATGATCTTGATTTGTTTGTTGGTATTACACTTCTTGAGTGACATCTGCTGTCTTTGTTAATGATTCTCTCTTGTTTTTCTGAAGGTCTCATCCCCAAGTGATCACCAAGAAGTACATTACTATGATTTTCACATTCTGCACTGTGCATCATATGGTGTTCCAATACTATACTTTCGTGCTTACTGTAGTGGTATGCAATTTTAGAAGTGGCCTGACTAACCACAGAGTGGAGACCATGCATTAGTAAAATTGTTTTTTTTTGTGCATTTGTCAACATGAAAGTTGTTGGGGTTTTGCAAATAAATAGAGTGATGTGTACTGATGTTAATATTTGTATGTTAATATATAATTGTCTGATTTATAGCGAATACCTATAATTGGAAATTATTGTTTTTTTAAATTTGAATATGGTATTCCAAAAATGTGACTGAGCGTTACTTCTGTTTAAATAGTAAACGTATGCATTCTGAAAATGTGATTGGGTGGAACAAATTGGAAATCTTGGAATCTAACCGTGGTTTATTCCAAGTGGTTTAATCCCCCATAGAATCTTTCAAGACCTTAATTTTTGCCAGTGTAGACTAATCTTTAATAACTCTTTTTCCTAGAACCATCGTCCTTGCTCGTTTTCCTTCTTTTAAAAAGATAAGAAACTAATTTTTGTTGTTAGGTGGAAAGTGTAAAAGAGGGAGAAATACGAACCATCATCCTTATGCCCTTGAAACCTTGTGATCTCATCCTAGATTTGTCACTCACAAATCAGGAAAGAATGAGCATATTTGGTGTTGTTTTTGTATATTTCTGAATATTTAATTGTTCTTGAAGTTGGTGCTTCTTGGTTATAGCAATTTGATTATTGTTTGATCTGCTAGTCAGTCCTATGTATTCCATGTAACCCAGTTTATTCACTTGAGGTACATGGATCATTTTGACTATCCTTTGGCTTACAGAGCTGCAAATTCTAGAATATCACTTACATGTTGATAAGTTGAAATATAGATACTTTATTGGCTAGTATGACATGACAATAATAGATCTCCACTATAATTTAAACCTGTTTTCAAGTTTCCACTCCAAATTATCCTATAATATGTAGACTACTGCACTTAAATGTTGATTTATGCATTTAAATTTAGGATTCTTTTGTAATTCTTTTGTGGAGAATTCAGGATTTATGGATTTAAATGTCTATAAACCATATAAAATTCTCTTTTGTAACTACAGTCCCACGATGATTATTAGGATTGGAAAGTTGTAATGCACTAGTTTCTTGGGAGGGGCTCTCTCATCCCCTGCCCTTAGGTTGTTTGTGGCCTTTTTGTGGTTAATACATTTCTGTTTCTTATTAAAATAAATAAATCTGCTCGTACTGATATCTTGGAGTATTTAGCTCATTCACTATACTAATTTTGTTAAGTGTACAGATGGGCTACCTCTGATTTTCGAAGAAATTGAAAAGGACCTTCCATCACAGTCTAAAGATGCATTATTGGATTCAAAATGGACATTCATTACTCAAGAGGTACAAT